GGGCGTAAAAAAAAATTAACGTTTTTTTTTAATTACAATACATATTGTGTAAAATATTATGGGTATTAAAATAATGTATTGGTGATGGTGAGATTATAAAATATACATATTATATTATAGCTTTTTTAAAGTGTAACCATGGAGTTTCTTGCTCGTTCTTCTCCATTCGAATCTACAATTTGAAAACAGCAAGCCGTGGTGGCCCGAAGGCGTCCGCTTCTCTCGCTCTATGCTTGAGGGTGTGGGTTCGAAACCTGGCAAGTACCTACCAATGTGACTTTTTCCGAGTTATATGTACTTTCTATGATTATATAGACACCACTGACATGCGGTGAAGGTAAACATCGCGAGGAAACCTGGACTTATAATTTCTAGTTATAAGTTTGAAAATCAGTTAGTCTAGACTCATGATAATGGCACCAGTCTACGTATATTCTAATATCAAAGGTGTTATAACGGAATCGAGTAAAAAGTTAATATCTATGGGTTTTTCTCTTATTAGGTACCGTAATACGGCATATGGTTCCTTGGGCAAATACGTTACGTACTTATATTTCGAGGGGACCCTTCCCTCTCCCAATCTCTCCCCAATCCCTAAATCTCCAAATCCCAAATACCCAAAATGTCGGCAACGCACTTGTAGTATCTCCTTGGTACAATGGGTGTCCATGGGCGGCGCTAATTGCTTACCATCAGGCAATCCGGCCTGCACGTATTATATGGTCGAGCTATCACATAAAAAAAATACTCCATCGTTAGTTAAATTATGTACGTTATAACATCCGCGTAAATGGCCTAGTTAGTTAAAATTGACCGTCACTTTATTAAGAAAACAATATTGATTATTTTTATCATTAATTAATAACTAATGAATAAAATTCGGAAGGTTATCCAATTGACCTAGAAAACAAACAATATATGCATGACTAAATGTCAGCTTCCGGTTTTGTCTTTGCTATATCCAAATTGTTTTTAGGTCGGGAAACGAACTGACAGATTACCTGATGGTAAGCAATCGACGCCGCCCATGGACGCTTCCAATATAAGGAGTTATAAATGCGTTAACGGCCTTTTGGGAATAAGGGTTTCGGATATTTAGGGATTGAGTGTCAGACTCTTACTGACTAAAAATCCCCCTGCTCCTTTTCTTGCCCTGGGTCGAGGCCGCGGTGCCTCATTGCGCTTACCCCGCAACCCCGGCTGAACATCAGCCCTATAGGGCCCCGTCTGTAGTGGTCTATTGGCTTTTTTCTGACAGTATCCTTTCGCGCTTCCCCGAGGGCGGTGGGTCTCAATGAGGAGTTTCCAACCCGACACCAAAGAGAGTAAGAGTCTGATACTCCTTGTCCCCCACCCTGGGTAGAAAAAGATGATTAATGGATTTCCACCAATGTAAAAAGAAGTCATTACTGACATAAGATTTTTATATTCATTTAAGTCATCATCATCATTATCAGCCTATAAGTGCCCACTGCTGAGCAAAGGCCTCTTCTCAAACGGAGAAGGTAAGAGCATTAATCACCACGCTTGCTCAATGCGGGTTGGCGATTTAAACTTATAATTAGAAATTATAAGTCCAGGTTTCCTCACGATGTTTACCTTCACCGTATGTCAGTGGTGTCTAAATAATCATAGAAAGTACATATAACTCGGAAAAAGTCACATTGGTACTTGCCAGGTTTCGAACACACACCCTCATACATGAGAAGCGGGCTCCTTAACCTCCGGGCCACCACGACAATTAAATCATATAAATATTAATCCAATTCATTTATATAACTGATTTTGCTAATGGTCAGTTTTTATTACGTTGGCATTGTTTTAGCGATTATTTTATTAATGAAAACAATGTCTCAGGGTTTTCGATAGGGTCGGCCAATAAGAAAAGGTAAAGGTATATAAGTAAGAATTAAATTATTAACATGGTGTTTGATTGGGCACGCTATTATAGCAGCGGTAAGACCCCTCTTTGAGGAGTGGCTTGAGAGACGCCACGGCGCCCTCACCTTCCGCCTGATGCAGGTCCTTACCGGGCACGGCAGCTTCGGTAGGTTCCTGTTTCGGATCCAGCGCGAGGAAACGCCCGAGTGTCGTCATTGTGGGGACCACCTAGAGGATACGGTAGCGGTATGCCCTGCCTGGGCTGAGTACCGCCGTGTCCTCAGAGAAGTTATCGGCGGCGGCGACCATTCGGGAAAAGTCATTTGATGATTTTCCCCTCACAAAAAAACAAGGTGTTTGATAGAAGAAAAAAATTTAGCGCCTCACTTTTTTGAATAGCAATTAGTTACTTATCTGAGTTTTTTTCATCAGCTGAGCATCGTGTCGCTTATTTGATTCCCGAAAGCAAAAGTTCTTTGTGTAATCAAATTCAAATTCTTTATTTGCATTTTAAGGTGGGTACAAGGATCTTAAATTAAGATAACAGGCACAGCTTGACAGCCTTTTTCAGGCGTTGCAAAGAGGGCTATAAGTATATTACTAGCTTATAAAATAATATTAAATTACTTAATTTATATGACATTGCATGAACGAAAAAATCCATAAATTGCTATCATTTTTTTAATAGGACATGCCCGCCGCATCGTCTCAATACCGCTGCAACTCCTGTGCACCAGGATCTACAGTATATACAACCATGAAAACACTGGAACACTAAAGTCCGCCGCGTCCCAGGAACATGAAAATTGGACTGTCTTGGATCCCGCAACGAAATGATTCAGAAGAGACAAGTTGTTTTTTTATTCTATCTCTTTCTTACATAAACCCTTTCGTTCTCTTGCACGAAGACGCGCGATTACACTGCCCCGCAACCCCAGCAAAATTAGCCAAAGGGTAATTTAGGTGCCTAATTAACTTAAGCTGTACAATATTTCACTGGTTGAATTCTTTGTCTGACTCACAAATATTGCGTCTCAACAACGATTTGTAGGTCATCGATTAAAAATGAGTACAAGAAGTACTTGTGCGTCGCTATGATGGAATTGGCCTCTCTAGACGAGGGTTCAAAGTGAAAATGTCATTTCATGTAATGGCAATTTATTTGTGCGCCTACTACTATTATAAGAGCAATGTGCATTCTGGCCAGACATTGCTATCATACATTTACCTTTCACTATTAGGTACTGATTTGTTCATATAATATTGTGGGAGAGCCATGCTTCGGCACGATACAATACCACGGCCTCATAGAAAAATGGCGTGAAACTACTACAGTGTTTCGCCGTGTAAGTGAGACTATCTCTATCTTTCCCCTCCCCCAATCCCTAAAACCATTATCTAAATGTGGGAGAGCCATGCTTCGGCACGAATGGGTTGGCTCGACCGGAGTGATACCACGGCCTCACAGAAAACCGGCGTGAAACAACCAACGTTACCGGGGGATCCTTCTCCTCCCCCAATCCCACCTCAATCCCTAAATATCCAAATCCCTAATCCCTAAAAGGTCGGCAACGCACTTGTAACTCCTCCATCAGGTATTCCGCTTGCCAGTTTGCCAGCATCTCACATAGAAAAAAAATAAATTAGTAATTTATTTTGATCCATAAAAACATTTTTTTAAGTAAAGAAACTTCAGTGGGTACCTATGGAGAATAATCTAGCAATTTATACTTATTTTATATAAGTTTGCTATGAAATTTTTTGCAGGCGTGTAATATTTTTTTTTTGTTTCACTCATATTGTTACAAACTTACTCTTGGGCCAGAGATCCATATTTTACTAAGACACTAGCTGACCTGACGAACTCCACACCCGCAAAATTAAGTAAATTGGCAGTTCTCTGCCCAAGCAACTGCTGCTGAGCAAAGGCCTCTTCTCACACGGAGAACGTTTGAGCATTAATCACCACGCTTACTCAAGGCAGATTGGCGATTCCAAATTTATAATTAGAAATTATGAGTCCAGGTTCCCTCACGATGTTTGCCTTCACCGTATGTCAGTAGAGTCTTCATCATAGAAAGTACATAAGCACCTATAACATGGAAACATCTTGCTAGGAGGCCTTAATTTACATCCGGGCCACCACTATGAAAATATTTCAAGACGAACTCGGTTCAAATTTTTTTGTGCGGGAAAAAATCATCTAATAGCTTCTCTCGCCCAGGGTGAGGCGAGAGAGAGTGTCGACTCTTACTGACTAAAAACCCCCGTTCCTTCTCCTGCTTTGGACCGAGGCCTTAGACCTTACGCTAGCCTTGGAACCCCGGCTGAACGTAAACATCGGCCCTGTTAGTGCCCCGTGTGTCGTGGCTTCTTTGAAGCGGAAAATCGGTTCAGCTTTTCTCGAGTTTAAGCGAAACTAACGAACGGAAATGCTTTTTATAAAAATGTAAGTATAAGAACATTTATATCGCCAACGCCAAAGTATAATGTAATTTTCTAGTACCATCTTCAAGTCTGTCACATAATCTTTTTTTAATAAGTTCCACTGTAAATATCTTTTAATAATACAATTACTAATAAAATAAGGTCATTCAACTTTTCAACGGTACATTTTAATTAATCATTACGTATAACTTATTAAATGTTGAAAGGTGAACAGTAATTGAAGTGCCACAAAAAGTGTAGGAGAGCCATGCTTTGGTACGAATGGTTACCCCCGGTACAACTCGAGTAGTACCAGGGACACAAAAAAATATCAAAACAACACTTGATTGCGTTGTGTGAATGATGTACCTCTCCTCAATCAACTAATCAACAGATCCTTCAAAACAAACTCTTGACCCCAAGCGAAATCATGTACCACGGCCCGAAGCTGAGAAGGCTCAGTACAGAATGAACGAATTGGTTTTTAATCGGTATGTTAAAAAAAGTCAAAAGTCAAAAATCATTTATGCTAATTAGACCCATACACTTTTGAACGTCAAACAAAATTTTGAAGATATGTATAGTGTCAGTCTGTCGGTCAGTCTCTCTTAGAGAAGCTATTTGCTCGTTCCAAAGTGTAGATTCCGATGGAGATCATTTAAGTACCAAAACAAATAAAAACAAATTCAAAATATCAAAATACTGAACCATTTATTAAAAACAAAACACACTTAAGTAATACAAATTCAAACAAAACCAAACAAACGCAGCGTAATATAAAAAACAAAACACGTAACTTTAAACAAAGCATAAAAATAAACACAGGACACGAAATAATGTAGATACTTCAACAGAATTTGCTTTTTCCGTGCATATTCCGTGTTCTTAATACCGTCTTTCATTAAATATTTTCTTAGCCCCACGCACCAAATTGTCACAAATTCCGGTATATTAATGTCAGTTGTGTCAAAATTGAATATTAATTTGTCGCATTTTGACAAACTCTGGAATAATTTGTCAGAATTGTTGTCGTTAAACACCCAAGTCCGGGATGTAAAGTAGGAGAGGGCTAGGGATGATCTGTTCACGCGGTTGTACAGTTTTATAAACCTGAAATACAAAAAAAAAATGAAAATTCAAATAATGTCTTTAACCTACATCGGTTAAAAATAAATCTATACAAATACTTATTTTAATAACTCTACAATTACATTTTTAAATATACTTAACTAAAAAAAAAACAATAAAATAATATTTAAAAATATAAAAATAGGAGCCAGCCGGTAGCGGGAGCAAGGTCCAAGCTACCGGCGGTTAGAGCTCCAGAGACAGGAACCTCCTCACAATACGTGCCGTTTCAAGGAGGACTGCCTTCTGTATGAGGCCCTTGATCCATCCGCCTAACGTCAGCCTCTTAAGGTGGTTGTCGAGGCTTTTGGGGACTAACCCGTTTGCCGACACAACTATCGGCACATTAAGAGCAATGGTTTGATTGTTTGTTTGTGTGTCTCGAATATACTCCGAAATTACTACAACATTTGAAAAATTCTTTCACCATTGGAAAGCTACACTATCCCTGAGTGACATAAGCTATATTTTGTTCCACCACGCGGACGAAACCGAGGACGGAAGCTAGTTAAAAACAAAATGCATCACAGAATTCTCTTTTTCTACACATTTGATCTGAAAAACATGACGTCAAAATATAAAATTCGTTGGAAAATTCGTAAGAAAACTCTCAATTTTGACTATGCGGGTCGGTCAGACCGGAGTAATACCATGGCCTCCCAGAAAACCAGCGTGAAATAAACACTATATTGTGTTTTGCTGTGTGAGTGAGGTTACCGGAGGTTACCTTTCCCACTCCTCATTCCTTCCCAATCCTAAAATATCCGAAACATTTATCCCGAAAGGCCGGCAACACACTCGTAACCCTTTTGGTGTTGCAAGTGTAGATGGACGCGGCGACCTCTCGCGCCCGGCCTTAGTCGAGGCCATGGTGCGGAGTGAGAGGAACTGGGACGCCGTCTCCTCCTTTTGTGAAGCAGTCATGCTCGCAAAGAGAGAGGCGGCCCGCGTGAGGGAGCAATCCCCCCCTTCACGCCCCAGCAGCCGCAACTGGCGACACTACGGGCGTCGGGGATCGAGGGACGATCTCCGGCCACCGTAAGCACGGGCCTGCGGTCGGCGAGTAAGGGCAGCCTGCCGCCCGACCAGAACCAGGCCCGAGCGTACGGCGCGTAGCGTTCCGCGCGCGCCTCCAAGAGCTATTCGACCACCACAGACCGGGCCCTAAAGGGCTGATGTTCAGCCGGGGTTGCGGGGTAAGCGCAATGAGGTACCGCGAACTCGGCACAGAGCAGGAGAAGGAACAGGGGGGTTTTTAGTCAGTAAGAGTCTGACACTCCCTCCTGCCCGGCCCTGGGCGGGAGAAGTCATTTGATGATTTTCACCTCACAAAAAAAAAGTGTAGATGGACGACGCAAATTGCTTACCATCAGGTAATCCGTCTGGTCGTTTGCCGACCTATAAAACTATCAATAGTACCAAATATGACAAAAAAATCTAATACTTTGATAATCATTTGTATTATAAAAGTACACACGAATCAAGGTATTAAATATTAAAATGATAAAATAAAAACAACATACATCGTCGGTTTTCCTAGCAGAATGCAGCCAGCGTCCAGTATGTAGCCGGGAATGTAATGCAGAAGCCATGTCAGCAAGAAAAACAGGGGTTTATTCGATGTATTTATTATGAAGGTGTACCACACAGCTAGAGGGGTAGGCAGTACCTTGCCAATATCACGGATCTTTGAAGAAATTGGTTCTGTAAAGGAAATTTCGTATAGGGTCAAAAGTCAAAGTCAAAGTCAAAATCTATACTTCATCTATACTAATATTATAAAGACGTAAAATTTGTAAGTTTGTATGTAGGGTGTAATCTTTGGAACCGCTGGTCGGATTGCCAAAATTCTTTCACTGATAGATAGCTACAATGTTCCTGAGTGCTATAGGCTATAAATTATAGTTGATTGGCGTATTTTAGTCGAGCTATCGCTTTATACGGTGCCGTTTTTAAAATTCCGGGACACATTACTTTTACACGAAGCCAGTTGATACAATAAAACAACAATATCGTTACAACACTTACCTATTCCTGTACAACATTCTTTTTTTTTATGTTATAGGACGGCAAACGAGCAGACGGCTTACCTGATGGTAAGCAATCGGCGTCGCCCATGGACACCCGCAACAAAGAAGGAGTTACGAGTGCGTTGCCGACCTTTTAGGCATAGGGAGCGGGTAAAGCGGTAAACTGCGCGAGACTAGCTAGTCATATATAAACCAGAAAAAAAAATTGAATAAGTAGTCTGTCAGTCTGTTCGTCAGTGAAGCTAGGTGCTCGTTCCAAATTGTAGATTCGAATGGAGAAGAACGAGCAAGAAACTCCATTAGGATAGATTCGGTAGAGACACAGTATCCATAGTTTGTCTACTGAGCTGAGCAATGGTAACAATGGATATGGCTTTTGACATTGTAAATTAATTATAATGTTTTCGGCTTACTCACGTAATAATTTGACGAGATACTCGACTAGTTTCAAGCCATGCTAGTCGAGTATCTCGTCAAATTATTAAGTGAGTAAGCCGAAAACATAATAATTATTAGCTATGGCTTCATTTAGCAACATATAATTTAGTGTAGGTAACTTTAGCTACTGGCTACTGGGCTTCGTAATTAACACGATTCCCAAAAAAGTTACGATTTTGAAACACTCAAAGTAAAAGTCAACTTCAGTTAAAATCAAAGTGAAAGTCAAAGTGAAATTCAAAGTAACACACAAAGTGAAATTCAAATTTAAAGTCGCAGTCACAATCAAAGTAAAAGTAACAAACACAAATATTTAGATTTAAAAAAAATTGTGAGTTTGTTGGATAGAGCTCGAGTGAATCTATTTAGCTATATTTTTTTCGACCCAAAGTCAAAATTCTATCTGGTCTTTCCGTCTGTTTCATAAATAATGAAAACTGAACAACTTACCCCAATGAAATAAATTCCTGGCACTTGATACAGAATATATCTGAATATCATTCGCTTCCTTCTTAGCTGTATGCCAGGCAGCTGCTAATATAGCGTTATTGACATAATCCACCGGTACAAGGCTGAACTTGACATCATTTGAAGCGTATATAGCATGAATCAGACCAGTTGCTGGACCCAGGATTAGCTGAAAACAAAAAAAAATATATTAATTCAGGTTACTGGACATCTACACTACATCAGCTGCTGTTTACATGTGAACATTAGCTCATGACGATACCTAAGTACGTGTGTCGCCTGGACAGTCAACCTCGCTACATCCTTGTTGACTGGACATCTACACTACATGAGCTGCTGTTTACATGTGAACATTAGCTCATGACGACACCTAAGTACGTGTGTCGCCTGGACAGTCAACCTCGCTACATCCTTGTTGACTGGACATCTACACTACATGAGCTGCTGTTTACATGTGAACATTAGCTCATGACGATACCTAAGTACGTGTGTCGCCTGGACAGTCAACCTCGCTACATCCTTGTTGACTGGACATCTACACTACATGAGCTGCTGTTTACATGTGAACATTAGCTCATGACGATACCTAAGTACGTGTGTCGCCTGGACAGTCAACCTCGCTACATCCTTGTTGACTGGACATCTACACTACATGAGCTGCTGTTTACATGTGAACATTAGCTCATGACGATACCTAAGTACGTGTGTCGCCTGGACAGTCAACCTCGCTACATCCTTGTTGACTGGACATCTACACTACATGAGCTGCTGTTTACATGTGAACATTATTAACATTGTTGACAAGAGCTACTTACCCCACTTGCTCCAAAAGCACAGCTTGCATCTGCCCATCCTGGGACTGGCTCTCGATATGAAGATATTACTGAAATATTTTAAGAAATTCATTAAATGGCAACAATTACTAATTAAATGATACACACGAATTTGACAACAGTTTTATACGGCGTCGAGCTAGCAGGCTGTTCACCTGATGGTAAGCCACAAGTGCCGTTCAAGGACACCCGCTTCAGAGGCGTTTAAGTCCATGCAGGGGCCCGTAGAGGGCCATGGATCACACGATCCACAAATACAACCTCCGGAGTGTGTTAAACTTTGAGAGACTGGGGTATTGGAGACGGCAAAATACAATGCTGTAGTTTTTTTCAAGATACTTTTTTATAAGGCCGTGGTGTAACCCCGGTGGAGTCAGATGAAGCAGGGCTCTCTCACACTTAGTAAAATTTCTAACAAAGAAACTGTCACACTAAGAGCCTGCTTCAAATTATCACAGAGAATTTGCCCTGCGAATACTTCCATAATCTTCAAACACATTTTCCAGAGGATCTGCCAAAAGCAACTAATCGGGTCTATCTATGAACAACTGTGGGGTTTTTTTTAAGTAATAGGAGGCAAACGAGCAAATGGATCACCTGATGGTAAGTGATCGGCGCCGCCCATGGACTCAGCAACACCAGAGGAGTCACAGGTACGTTGCCGGCCTTTTAAAAAGGAGTAAGTGCGCTTCTTTAACGTTTGTAGGTCATATCCACTCGCTTTTTTTGGGCATTGGAGCTTGTTATTTCTGTTGCAGGTTTGAAGGTGGCAGTTGATGGTTGGCGATTTGGACACCATTGCTCTTGCCCTCAAACCCGACTGGACTATCTAGTGCTTAATGGTTCTCATTCAGATAATCGAACTTGAATCCTCGAAGAACGTGTTTTGAGGACATCCATAGCACCAAAAAAGTAACAATTTCATTGCTATTCAAGAATAGTGAGGGTTTGACCTCTAGTAGGTGACCTCACTCCCAACAGTGAAGATAATTTTATCCATGACTAGCTACTACCTGCGGTTGCACCCGCTACTCAGCTCCTACATACAGGGTGTAAAAAGACACTTAACGAAGCCGAAAGCCATTATTTGGATCATTTTTTTCTTTAAGACCATAGCTGGGACTCCACGGGTTCTCGAGATATTGAAGGTCAAAGATGCATTTTTAATTTTTCTTTTTTTGCTCAATCGAATTCTAAGTATTATTACAAAACTTTTTTTCAAACAAACATTAAGTACCTGAATTTTCGATTTTTCTAAATAAATTACGCATTTGAAGTTACGAACAGTTATGTACGTAATAAATAAACGTAGACCCGCACAAAAAACATCGTGCATCTCAGTAGGATTTTTATTTTACAGAATTGTTTTGTTGTTGCGAAGTAAAACGTCGACCTACGTACTTATCACAGCGTTTTCATGCTAAGCTGTGAACCTACGCACACAATGACACGAAGCCCGTTAGCTTTACATTGCGCGCAATATTTTTTTTTTTTTTTGATACCTAAAAATAAAAGTCGTTTCCCAGTGATAATTTTAGCGTAAAGTTACTTAGTTAGAACTGCAGCATGCGTAGTTAACGGCTTCGTTATGTGTCTTTTTACACCCTGTATATATTTTATAGCCTTCCTCTGGACTAAATGAACTAAGAAACACAGAAAAGATCAATTTGAACTAGGAGTTCCGTAGATTAGCGCGTTCAAACAAAAAAACAAACAGCTTAATAATAGTATAAGTATAGATTCTTACCAACTGCCGGTCTGATTATACAAGTAGGCATGTCACCAGCTCTGCTCCGCACCACTTCTTCAGCTATGGACTTGGTAAAGGTATACGTGTTGGGGTACCCTTTGATCAGGCTGGAAGAAACGAAACCTTATCATGATTATATAAGCACAAGAAATTATGACATTTCTTGTTATTTTGTTGGAAGTAAAAAAATAACAAAATTAAGTGTCGGAGAGCCATGCTTCGGGACGAATGGGTCGGCTCGACCGGAGTGATACCACGGTCTCACAGAAAACCGGCGTGAAATAACCAAAGAGTTGTGTTTCGCCGTGTGAGTGAGGTTACCGGAGGCCCAATCCTTCTCCTACCCCAATCCATCTCCAAATCCCTAATCCCCAAAAGGTTGATCACGCACTCGTAACTCCTCCGTCGTCCATGAACGATGGCGATGATGACGCTGATTGCTTACCATCAGGTAATCCGTTAGCTCGTTTGCCGACCTATCACATAAAAAAAAAGTATGTTCCTCATCGCGCATTGCAAAAGGGGCTAGAAGGGAAAAATTAAGTCAGAAAGTTGATTTGCTCTCTCTCTCTTTCTCCCTTCTACCTCTCTTTCTCTCTCAAGCAGTCTTTCTATAATATGGTAAGACTTTTTTTTATGTCATAGGTCGCCATACGAGCAGACGGATTACCTGATGGTAAGCAATCACGCCACCCATGGACACCCGCAGCGGAGGAGTTATGAGTGCGTTGTCGACCTTTTGAAGATTAGGGATTTGGAGATTCAGGGATTGGGGAAGGGGAAAGACTGGGCCTCCAATGATCTTACTCACTCGACGAAACACAACGTGTGCTTGGTTTACGCTGATGATGTGGTCTCACTCCGGTCTTGACGACCTATTCGTGCTGAAGCATGGTTCTCCCAAACAAGCGAGGAAATAAATGTCGTACAAAAAACGGAGGGGCTACAGTGATGATATCTTACTTGGCCTCAATAGATTCCATCCGATCGTCATCGATGTTCTCAGCCATGTTAATCATCAGCTCTGGTGGCAACGGACAGGGGTAGAACCGCTCCATCACTTCCTTGTCCACGTTAGCCTCGGTAGCGGTGGAGTACGTTGTTGACACGTAGACGAAAGACCTGGACAAAATATATTCATCAAGGCAAGGTCAAAGTCAAAATCGTTTTTTGCAACTAACAAACAAAAATTATTAATTCGCGTCCAGGACGCACAGTTTAGTGTATAAACATAAAAAACAAACAGAACATGGTACTTAATACAATTTAAACAAGAATAATAAAAGGAAAAATATCTATGCGTCACAAGCACGCGAAATGGCCCTCGCTCAGCATAAAGTCAAAGTAAAAAAAAATTAAATAGACCACAGTACGTCGATTCTATAAAATTTGTTTGATTTTGAATCTTGTTCGAGTGCGAAGTGAGCGTCGAAGTGACGGGGAAATTAAATTTTAGAATGCCACTTTTAACGTCATCTCATACTTTATCTATCAAAATGTTGCTGTCAATTTAGTTCAACTCGCAAGTGTAGCGCTAGTGTACTACTACTCACAGCGGATTCAGATTCGAAGTTTAGAATGAAGTCTTACAGAATCATACCCCAGTAGGCACTTTTGAACGTCAAGCACATATGCAGCGACAGCGAGACAGTGTCACAGCGCTGATTTTCAGCGATGGCCGACAACTAACATTTGACGCCAATCGGTGCAGAAACTTCTAAATAAAGAAACTACTACACACTAAAACTAAACTATAAACAGGTACTTTTAAAATTTTAAAATAGAATAATAGTCTGGTAGTGGAATTATTAATTTAATTGATGATAATGATGAATCTTCTGATGGAGCAATCGCCGGCAACCATGGCCATTTACAAGCTGTTGGTCTTTTGAGGTTTTCTCCCAAAATACCCACTAAATTAGGTTTAAGGATTGAAGTTTTGAGGATTGGTAATTTAAGAATTTGGAATTTGGCGATGGAAAGGTTTTTGCCTCCGGTAACCCTGATCCGGTTACCTCGATTATTTCACAGCAGTTTTCTGTAAAGCCTGCTTATCGAAGGATCTAACCGGCGCTTTGATGCCCAAGTATAGCTCTCCCACACTTGGATTCCACACAATATTATTAATATACCTATACGATATTGACGGTAGGGTTGGCGCGGTGACTTGGCGATTCCCGCACGGAACAACTCCTTGTGTCATCCAGAAATTGTTGTTCCGGGTATGGGTGTGATGTGTATGTAAAATTGTATGTTTGTAAACGCACCCTCCACACAGGAGAAAAATTCAAATGTGGGGCACCGTTTGAAAAAAATACTTACTTCAGTTTTCGACAATCCCTACCGAGAAGTACAGACTCTCTGGTACCCCGGATATTGATCATGGTGGACACTCGGAGAGCTTCGTCGAACCTGGTGGTAGCTGCCACGTGGAATATGATGTCTACCTGGAGGATTAGGAGGATATCATTACCCACCATTCATTGTCAACATCATCATAGTCATCAGCCCTTGTAACTGCCAGCTTATTTACCTCTGTTGTAATCATCATCCAATCATCATCATTAAGGCCGAGCCTTATTTCGGACACGTCTCCTTTAACCGGAACTATATTCTCTGCAAAATTCGGTTTCTTCTTCTTCACCAAGTTGAAAACCTGGAATTTGGAAGATATATTTTTTATTTAAATTTGGCCAGTCCCGCGCTTTTTTACCAGCTGATCGTTTCCTATTGGTCGAAGCGTAATTTTTATAGCCTGTCTTAACAAATGGACTATTCAAAATAAAAAATAAATTCGATCTACTGGATCGAATTCATCTTTGGTTCCGAAGATACGCATGTTTAAGCAAATAAACCATTAAAGTCCAAAGAGGGAGAGTCATGCTTCGGTACGAATGGGTCGGGATTGATACCACGGTCTCACAGAAATCTGGCATGAAACAACTACAGCTTGGTGTTTCGCCGTGTGAGTGAGATTACTCATCATTTTGCTATAATTTCGAGACTCGAGGCCCAGGTAATTAATCCGTTTGCTCGTTTGCCGACCTATTACTTATAAAACACAAAGAAGCTCCTCAGCTTAACTTTAGAATTCTAACAAAACATAAATATTCTTATCCAAACAATAACTCTAAATTTCCCTATCCTTATCCCAGGTAACTCTGTGTCGACGTAATACATCTTCTCCGATTCTCCCCTATCAAACGTCATCACATCAACAATCTCCTTTCTCTTTCATATCACTCCTCACACGATCTATCCATTTATTCCTTTTTTAGAAAATATGATCATTGTATATGTTTAAAATGAAAATAAAATCATTTAAGAATTTTCTACTTACAGGATCTTGTAGCATTTCTTCAAGTCTCTCTTGAATTGTCATATTTTTCTTCGGCCGAAGCAGCACGAAGATCTTCCCAATATTACAAGCCCTAAAAAAACATAAATTTCAATAAACAGCAGTTCTGTTAGTGTCCAGTCAACAAGGATGTAGAATAAGAATAAGAATAAGAATAAGAAATTTATTGGCTCAAACATGTGTATGCATACAGAATTAAAATAATACATGCATGCAAGATCTTAAATAAAAAGGGGTCACGACATGTTTGCCATTTACCATGGCGTGCAAATATTTTAGGTATCTATTATAATTATCATATTACTTATCATTACTAAGAATTCATAATTAATTTCAAAACAATTAATAAATAACATAATTTACATTTATACATTAAATATCAGTAACATACATAATAATATTATTAATCAATTTGTTTATATTCAAATAAGTTAATATTTAAGTACATAAACAGATTATTTATTTTTATAAAAGTATACAAATTATAATTCAAATTACTTATTTTATTTCATATTTTAAACCATTCAATCATGTATAACATTTAGCTAATGAACAATAGTTCCTTGGTTCACACAACCTTAATTAGGACAATGTTAGTTTTTATTATTATCTATTTATTACGATCACTGTCTCATTTAAAAATTCTGTTATACTGTAATAAGCTTTCTGTGCCAAAAACAATTTCAATGTTTGTTTAAGCTTAGGTATAGTTAATTCTTTCCAAGTTTTAGGCAATTTATTATATATCTTTGGTGCCATGCAAAATACACTCTTGCGCATAAGTGCAGTTTTAGATGTATGTAAACATAGTTGGCTATCGTCACGTCTATTTCTTGGAAATCTGTCTGCCATGCGAGGAAACAAATGCGGATTTGTCTTTACGAACATTGTTATTTCTAATATATAGAGTGAAGGTATTGTTAATAGACGATATTTAATGAAGTAATTTTTACAGCTGTCGGTAGATTTGAGATTAAACATGGATCGCAAGCAGTATTTTTGTCTTTTAAAAATGACATCCCTATCGGTTGAGTTACCCCAAAAGATTACACCGTATCTAATGACAGATTCAACCAGACCATAGTAGGCCGTTATTAACGCTTCTATATTGATAGAACGAGATAACTTATATAACGCGTATGCCGCACTGCTTATTCTTTTGGCTAAAGCTTCTATATGCGCTTTCCAATTTAAATTTTCGTCGATTGTTAGACCCAAAAATTTTGTAGTATGAGCTGTTTGTATTTTATTATTATTGTATTGAATGTCAAAATTAGAAAATAATGATGGTCGTTGGCTAAAATGCATAATCAAAGTTTTATTAATATTAATTTTCAAATTATTATTATTGAGCCACGTTACCGCTTCAGTTAAAGTATTTCTTATGTCCGTTTCATAATTATTTTTATCATGGCATGGTATAGTTATCGTACTGTCATCCGCAAACAGTGTCATGGGATGTTTAATGGCTTTAGGGAAATCATTAATATAGAGAGTAAAAAGGAGCGGCCCTAGTACACTACCTTGCGGAACTCCATGAGGAATTGTACGCTCACATGACGTGAAAATTTCTTCATGTTTAGTGCTCATGTTTATTCTACTAATTTGGGTTACCTGTTTTCTATCATTTAGGTATGATTTTATTAGATTTAATAAATTTCCTCTTATACCATATGACTCAAGTTTATTAAGTAGTATATTATGTTGTACGTAGTCGAATGCCTGTGTCATGTCGCAGAAAATTGAGCAGACTGGTGTGTTTTTATCCATGTTTGTCATAACATTATACAAGAAGTCATATATGGCCAAATTGATTGTTTTTTTCTCCCTAAATCCTTTTTGTTCATCACAGAATATATTATTTTTTTCACAATAGTTATTAAGTTCCTTATAAAAGTATTTTTCGAAAATTTTAGAAATTATTGGTATAAGTGATATAGGCCTGTAAAATTCCACTTGCTCCCTATCTTGTTTCTTAAACAGCGGGAAATTCGCCCTCACTTATGCTTAAATTAATGATGTAACTTATGGGGCTACTGATTTCATATGCCACTAACTTAACAATTTTTGTACATATGCCATCATTTCCAACAGAGTTTGTATTCTTTAGGGCCGCGATAATTTTTAATATATCAATTGCCAGACTAGGTGCCATAAACATTGAATCTTTTCTTGCCAAAATATGTTTATTGACTGTGGTTCCCGAACTAGTTATAGGTTTGATTTTATCTATAAAATAGTTATTAAACACATCTGCAATAATTTTGGGGTCAGTTACAGTTTCATTATTAAATCGAATCTTGTCTATAGTATTTTTTGGCATATTTAATTTTGTTTGATTAATTATTTCCCACGTAGCCTTAGACCTATTATTTGATGTTTTAATTTTGTGCGTATTCTGTGCTCGTTGAGTTAAATAAATTATTTTTTTAAGTAATTTTGAATAGTCTTTAAATTTATTTTTATTAACATCGGTAGGTTTTTGTCTATATTGCCATAGCAAATGACGCTTCCTTTTGCTACATATTTTAATACCGCGAGAGACCCAACCAGGCCTTCTTTTCAAGTTTACAGAGACAAGAGTTTCAGGAAAGCATTGAGCATATAATAAAGAAAACATTTCTGAAAAGGCTTTGTAAGCAATGTTTGGATGTTTAGCTTCATATACCTCAGCAAACGATAGGCTGCTCAGGTACGACTTAAATTTATCAATATTCTCTTTACTATAGTCCCGTTTAGTGGTCCGCCAACAACTCCTAGTGCTTGCAGTGTTAATCGGACAATCGAGTAGTTGTGCCGTGTGGTCAGACAAAGCCAATTCCAGAACAATAGCCTCACGAGACAAATTGAAGTTATGCGCAAGATTGTCAATGCATGTATTGCTCTTTAACCGCGTGGGTTGACGAACAGATAGTTTTAGATTAAAGTTCAATAACAGATTTTCAAATTCAAGTGACTGTTTATTTTTTTTTAATATATCTATATTAAAATCACCCGCCAGTACAACATTTTTAAATGGCTTTTTTATCAAAATATGCAACAAAACATCCAACCTACTCATAAATTCGCTAAAATTGTTAGAATTAGGTACTCTATATATACATACAATTGCAATCCTATAATTTAAAAGTTCTATAGCGCAACATTCAAAGATACCCGGAATAGACAATTTAGCTATTTTTGATAATTCTCTCCACTGATGACCATTTTTTACAAGTATACAAGCACCACCTCTCTTATTTTCCTTGCGGCTAAAGCATGCAGCTAAACAGTAGTTAGGTATATTTAGATGAATTTCATAACCTTCCAACATAAAATGTTCCGTAATACATAATAGGTCCACTTGTATACTTTTTTCTAATAGCTCATTTAGACATATCGTGATCAGATCAGACTTTGCCAGGAGTCCTGCAATATTTTGATGATTGATATATGATATATACATTTTTATTCACGAAAAAAAGTATTTCTAGGCGTTATTATTCCAGTTGTTTGTTCAGTATCAACCAATTTATTAACTAATGCATTTTTGTTACAATCTATGTTAACCTGGACACCTTTATTTTCAAATGACTTTTTAAATTTTTTTTGAATATTTTGCTCATATTGAGAAAGTTGGAAATGATAATTTAAACATAATATTTCCTTTAGTAATGATCGTGCAAGATTTACTACATAGTTCCGCCCAATCGGTAATGATCTAGTATAGTTCATATCCATGTACACTACATTTTTATATTTATTACATATAAACCTGAGTAAATAATTAAGTTTTGTTTCTTGTAAAAATCTATTTTTAGGTACTTCTGAGATGATCACATTTGTATTCGCCGTTAATGCCAGCCAACGGTGTAGATGTATGTCGATGTCACAGGGATTTTTATCGCTGCATCCGCCCAATACGATGACATAGTCGTTTTTTGTCAGGTTGCTGATTTTGTTCTCAGGGCATTGCAGAATCTCACTCAACGCTGCACCCGGTTTTAGATAGGAGACTACCGTATACTCAGATCCTAGGAGATCCTGCAATACTTCGCGCAAACCACGTGCCTGACCATCACCCAATATAACCACTCTGTGGCCGCTACTTCGGTGCTCAACCGGTTTATCTTTTGATACCCGGTGCTGACTTAACGTACCACCCGGCTTTTCACTGCAGTGACCGGGACTGTCCGTCTGAATCTGTGCATCGTTCTCCGACTGACTCTGCTGTGTTATGTGACTGCTGGCACATGGTTGCGACATACCTTTCGACAGTACGCCTCTGGCTAGACGGAGGGGAGAATGGCGGGAGGTGTTTAATCTAACATTAAAAATTCTTCTTGAGACTGGTGTCGAGCTATCCTTTCTGAGTTGTGGAGTTGAATAGACATCTTTCAGCAATTGAATTTGTCGTTGCTGGTCTTGTATTTCTTGTTTTAATTTCGTATTTTCATAACTAAGATTGTCTATTTCTTTGTCGGCAATTTTAAGTTTCTCCTTAATTTCCTTCATTTCCTGCCTGAAATCTTCAATAAGTGATTGATTGCTGACTTGTGTGGCACTCTGTATGCTCATCATCGTAGAATCCAGCATAGTGGAGTTTAATATATCTTGACTACATTGCGATAAATTATTTTGTGATTGTGACCTGATTAGTTTATTTCTGTATGTAATGTTCTCCATTTTTTTCAAAATATTTTTTTTTTCTTATCAAAATCTTGAATAAATCCAATGTTTTTTTTTTCTCAAAAAAATGATATTATTTGATATTATATCAGAAAAAAAAAACAAAAAAGAATGTGTCGAGTTAGATTCAATCCTACGACCATTCAATAACATACAAAAAGAAATCCCAAAAATGAATGTCGTTGGTGGGAATCGATCCATCGACCGCTTGGGCACACGTTCATGCTCAGTGCATTACGCCATATACACATTAATGAAACTGGCGAAATAGCCCATTAGTAATTTGATATTTTTATTTGAATTCGAAGAAGTCGTTACTATGACTCATGCAGAAAAAATTTTTTGCACTCAATCACAACAAAACTGCAAGTCATTTACTTAATTGTTTTTTACACTTCTATATGTTAAAGTTATGTTTGTCCACTGCACCTGATTACTTAATTCCGTTTGTTTTATTGTTTTTTCGAAGAAATATATACTCATTTAACGTTTTGACAGATGATGTTAGATTGTTTTTTAGAATCCTTTTTGCGGTTTATTCCGTCACACAAGTCACTGAATAACAATGTCACTTAAACTTAAGATGTTCTTTCACAGTTTTAAATAGTAGAAACACTTATATTATTACATTAACTATTTTTTATAAAATAAATAACACGGACCCAATGTTTACGCGACAGCTAGCGCCATCTGCACTCTGATGTACTGATGTAGCGAGGTTGACTGTCCAGGCGACACACGTACTTAGGTATCGTCATGAGCTAATGTTCACATGTAAACAGCAGCTCATGTAGTGTAGATGTCCAGTCATCAAGGATGTAGCGAGGTTGACTGTCCAGGCGACACACGTACTTAGGTATCGTCATGAGCTAATGTTCACATGTAAACAGCAGCTCATGTAGTGTAGATGTCCAGTCAACAAGGATGTAGCGAGGTTGACTGTCCAGGCGACGCACGTACTTAGGTATCGTCATGAGCTAATGTTCACATGTAAACAGCAGCTCGTGTAGTGTAGATGTCCAGTCAACAAGGATAACATACCTGAAGAGTTTTTCTACAAGCTGCTTGCCAAGGAACCCTGACGCTCCAGTCAGGAATACAGTCTTATCTTTATAGAACTCTTGGATAACGGAATCTCCTCGTTCTGTTGCCTCAAACATTGCTTTCTGGCGAGACAGAGCCTCCAGTTCTACTGCTAAAGCAGGATCCATGGTGGTTGAAGAACCTGGAATGAAGATTTTGTATAAGTGATGTTTACGGCAAAAGAACCGACACCTGATGGTAAGCATTCAGCCATGGACAACACTTTTGGAGATCAGACGCCGTAACCTCACTCACACGATGAATCAAAAGGCTGTGGTTGTTTCACGCCTGTTTTCCGTGAGACCGTGGTATCACTCTTTCGAGCTACCCTATCAGTGCGGAAGCATGGCTCTTTAGTTAATATCCCTTTCGCCACACCAAGGATGCGAGAGACACTACATAATTTTCTGACTAAAAAAAATAACTCGACGTTCCGAAACAGCGGACTATACCTATGGACATTAATGTCGGCCCTTTATAAGTTTTTGATGTATGTTAAAAAAATCCGGTAGTTTCCATTTAGTCCCGGTAGTTACATTTTTGTATGAACTCACAACATATGCCGTCATTATATTTTGATATTAAATATCACAGTTATTTCGGAAAAATTTACTCGAAAAAACATTAAATATATCATTATATTTATAATAATTTATTGTATCTAATGAATAGTCAAAATAATTTATTGTTGACATAGGAAACTACTTAATTTAAATTCTTAAACGTTCAATGGACTTGCATTGAACCTTTTCCGGGACAAAACAAAGTAAGAGTCTGACACTCCCTCTCGCAGCACCCTGCTGAGAGAAGAAATTTATCGATTTTTCTTCCTCAAAAACCCCCCCTTTTACCATAACTCCCGTAAAACAAAACACACATACTTACACTTTAAAAACACACACAAAAAACAACCACCAACAACGCACAAATAAAAAAAATAACAAAGTCTAAATTAAATTGGTCTTAAAAAGTCTAGCTACCTTTAAGAATTGGATGAGAAAATGTAACCGTCTTGATTCCGTAGGTATTAATTATTATTTAACTTAAAAACCACGTACTTTCAAGATAAAGTGGCAGAATAATACTAAAGTATGTATTGAGAAAAATGGTGGCATTGCAATATTTTTGAACGTACAACTAACACACAGATTGAAAAGTCAACGGAGTACTAACTCGCATTTCGCTCGCGGCGACTTTTTTCGCACGTCCGCTTAAATTTAAAAGCAGGTAATAAAAAAATCAAACATTTATTTGAAATTGTGTGCTGAGAAAAACAGCATATGTATATGTGTTAATCCAGAATTATCATCTATCTACATTCTACATACCATTTTTAACAGTATCGGTCCAGCCGTTTTCCCAAGAAAGAATAACCAACAGACATCTATACTTACTTACGATCTCACAAACTTGAACATTTATCATATATTTAGTAGGATAGACCATTATAGACACTTTTGAACGTCAAACTGTCCCCTATTGGAGCTATTTGTTCGTTCCAAAACAATTTTCATGGTTACTCAATTCAGCCGTAGAATGGAGTTTCTTGCTCGTTCTTCTCCATTCGAACCTACAATTTGAAATAAGCACCTAGCTTCACTAACGAACAGACTGACGGACTACTATTCTATTTTGAAGTTTCAAAAGTACCTATTCATGGTTTAGTTGGAATAAATGATTTTGATTTGATTTGATTTGAGTTAAGTTCATTGCTACATACACTTTAAGTGGACGCAAAATCGCTATCGCTACACGTGGAATAAGCGATGGCAGCTCCACAACAAATGATAATTTATTAAGTCAATTTGGGAAATTACTTCTTTACCTATGTACATATTATACTTTCGAGTTGTTAGGTACGTAAATAATATGGATAAAACGCTTCTTATTTCGTAGATAATAATTTGAAAAATCAATAAATGACTGACACGGACATGTTAATCGAAATACTAAGGTAGGTTTTTATCGTCATGATAATCCTACTTAGATTATAATTGCGAAAGTTTGTAAGTACGGATGTATGTTTGTTACTTTTTCACGTAAAAACTAATAAAGGGATGGACAGAGATTGATTACACACAGACAGTCTGATAGTATAATACAAAAGCAATATTAAGGAAAACAATATACTAATGTTATAAAGATGTAAAATTTAAGTTTGTAAGTTTGTATGTAGGGGGTAATCTTTGGAACCGCTGATCGGATTGCCAAAATTCTTTCACTGATAGATAGCTACAATGGTCCTGAGTGGTATAGGCTATAAAACATCACGCTACAATCAAATGGAGCCGAGCAGCGGGTGAAAGCGTCGGTAGTTATTTGTTTATAAAAGTAGGGATTGCGGGTAAAGCGCAATTTAGTCATGTCCAGCTCGGACCTGGAGTCATAATGGGGAGCAGCGGGTGAAAGCGTCGGTAGTTATTTGTTTATAAAAGTAGGGATTGCGGGTAAAGCGCAATTTAGTCATGTCCAGCTCGGACCTGGAGTCATAATGGGGAGGGTTTTTAGTCCTTAAGTGTCTGACGCTCTTTCTCTCACCTCACCCTGGGCCGGAGAAGTCATTCGATGATTTCCCTTGACCCAAAAAAGCAGTCCGATACTCCCTCTAGAGATATTTTCCAATCAAAAGAAACTGTTTGAAGTAATAACTGGTATTACTCATATCGCCATCTCTTTCACACCTCTCATCCTTAGTACTCCATTATAAACTTACTCGCGACATTTGACATAGTTATTTTCTTACAAAATGCAAGATTGCATGTACATACGTACACTATGTTTATATATAAGATTTACACATAAATTATGTGTATTCAGCCAAATCCTAAGGTTATGAATCACGTGCGAAGTCGTACTTTGAGATTTCCATTTAGTTACTCGATTTTACACTTTATTTTTATGGGGATAAGAATGATGTTGGTTTTTTTTGGAGCTTTGTTTTTCTTTGATTTGCACGTTTATTATATGTATTAGTCATTTTACGATAATCTATCAAGTTAAACTTAAGTGTAGGAGAGCCATGCTTCGGCACGCATGGGTCGGCTCGACCGGAGTGACACCACGGCCACACAGAAAACCGGCGTGAAACAACCATAGCGTTGTGTTTCGCCGTGTGAGTGAGGTTACCGGAGGCCCAATCGGAGGGATTCCCAATCCGTAAATATCCGCAACCCCCGTCCCAAAAGGCGGGCAACGCACTAGTAACTCCTTTGGTGTTGCGGGTGTCCATGGACGGCGCCGATTGCTTACCATCAGGTAATCCGCCAGGTCGCTGGCCGAATTAAAACATAAAAAAAAATGTGGCAGAGAGGTATACCACGGCCTTACAGAAAACCGGCGTGAAACAACCACAGCGTTGTGTTTCGTCTGAGTGTGGTTAGTGGAGGCCCAATCCTTCCCTCATCCTCTATACTTCGATCCCTAACAACGTACAAAAGGCCAGCAATACACTTATAACTGCTTTAGTGCTGCGGGTATCCATGGTTCATGTCCCTAAGACGTGGCGGACTCCAGTGTTTCAGTAATTTCATGGTTGTATCTACTGTAGATCTTTGAGCTTTCGCTGACTAACAATATTATTATTTTTTATTTATTTATGGCAAACGAGCAGACGGATTACCTGATGCTAAGCAACCAGCGCCGCCCATATAACCCGCAACAACGGAGGAGTTACGAGTGTGTTGCCAATCTTTTGAAGATTTTGGAATTGAAGAAGGGGAAAGATTGGGCCTCCGGTAACTTCACTCACACGGCGAAACACAACGCTGTGGTTGTTTCACGTCAGTCTTCTGTAAGGCCGTGGTATCACTCCGGTCGAGCCGACCAATATCATAGCAATATCATATGATAATTTATCGATATTGTAGTGTGTATTTGTGTATACATGTACTACACTGCTGGATCTCTTCCCTTGGAGCGGTGCACGCACGGTTGGCGCGGTGGCTGGGCAACTGGCTTCCACGCAACGTGTCGCGGGTTCGATTCCCGCACGGAACAACTCTTTGTGTGATCCACGAATTGTTATTCTAAGTCTGGCTGTGATGTGTGTGTGAAATTGTATGTTTGTAAACGCATCCACGACACAGGAGAAAATACTAATGTGGCGCAAGGTTTTTTTCTAAATAAATAAATAAATCTAAGTGTGCCATCAATTAGGTATATTCGACTAGCTACTTTCGCGCGGTTTCACCCGCTATTCGGCTCCATTTAATAGATTCGTAATGTTTTATAGCCTATAGCACTCAGGAACATTGTAGCTATCATATCTATCAGTGAAAGAAATTTGGCAATCCGACCAACGGTTCCAAAGATTACCCCCTACATACAAACTTACAAATTTTACGTCTTTATAATGTTAGTATAGATATAGATTGTATCGAATTTTTTAATGGAATAAAAAAGTTAAATGTAACTTCAAACAATGAAGTTGCACGTTGATTCTATAAAATTTGTATGATTTTGAATCTTGTTCGAGTGCGAAGTGAGTGTCGAAGTGACGGGGAAATTAAATTATAGAATGCCACTTTTAACGTCATCTCATACTTTATCTATCAAAATGTTGCGGTCAATTTAGTTCAACTCGCAAGTGTAGCGCTAGTGTACTACTACTCACAGCGGATTCAGATTCGAAGTTTAGAATGAAGTCTTACAGAATCATACTGTTATTTTTTATAATCTCTCCGATGCACCACCGTAAAATACAGCACATGTTTTTTTTTTTATTATTATTTTTGTTTTGATTAATTTTTTACTGTTTTTTTTTTATCTACTTTTGTATCCGTGTCCAGGTTGTGCAAATAAAATAAAATTATTTCTTCTTCTTATTTCTTCTTCTTCTTCTTCTTCTTCTTCACATATATGGCGGTCAATACATTATTTATCCAAGTCTCATCACTGTCTTAATTTAGTCACCATGACATTTAGGTCCACATAATTATGTAAAGGGACGATGTATGAACTTGGCCGCATTTAAAAACAATGATTCACTTGTTAACGGGAACCAATAATGTTTTAAGTACAAATAACTTACAGAAACTTTCTCGTTGATAAATGATATCTATACTAATATTGTAAAGAGGTAAAATTTGTAAGTTTGTATGTAGGGGGTAATCTTTGGAACCGCTGGTCGGATTGCCAAAATTC